GCCTGATTTGGAGAAAGGGTTCAGCTCTGCAGTTCCCACTACCTTGCTGCAAGGGAGCCCAAGCATCACAGGGGACATCTGTCATTGCAAAGGGAGTGCTATGTCACAAAGCCAAGAGCTGCCCACCAGGCTCTCTGCTGAGGCCTTCTTCCTGACAGCAGTTCTGAGAGGGTCTGACTGCTGCTTCCGGCCTTTTGTTTCCTGAGCATCCTGCCACCATCAGAACCATTCCAAAAAACAAAACTGGGTGGGTGACACCTCTAAGCCTGGAGCGCAATACTAGGCCTATTTTGTCTGATCCCCTTCCCTACCACTCACACAGCAGAACCAAACAGCTCACAGGAGTTATCTGGCTTTGAGGAGGAGACATCCTTCCCTATGAGGGGGAACAAGGCAGGTCTGGGCTTCCCACAACTCTGCTTTGCAAAGCAGTGGGAACAGAGCTCAGCAGAAATGGATAAACCCTCTCCCAGCATCCCCAGAGTTCAAACAACAACCCCGCTGTGAAATAACTGTGAGCCAGAAGAGCATTCTGGGTATTGAAATGCAAATGAGCAGGCTAAGGGAAAGAGAAAGGCAGAAGCTATGGAATATAATTGGGCTTTTAAATAGAGAAGGGAACCTGCCAGTCTCAGCTGAGGGAGGAGGGGGAATCTTTGTAGGCACAAATATAAAACTTGTGGTTAAAACTGTAGTTTAATCAGGGACATAGGTATACTCCAACTTCTTGGCCCTGGAATCTATCACAGACTCTTCAGTACCTTTTAGCCAAAGCCATTCCTTCTTTTTAAATTAAATCTCCAGCCCTCCTAGCTGCAAAGAAAACTTTTTGAATATTTGCATCAATTAGCAGGCAGGCTGTAGTAATTACAATAGGGACTGCAGCATTTCTCTTGTTTGACTATTAACCCTGAAAGTTAATGATGTCAGTTGAAATATCTGCACTGACACTGCTAATCCTGCTACCAGAGGTGGGTCTAGATCTGATCTATGAGGAGCCCTATGGTCTGGTAGCAGCAGGGCAGGGGAGTAGTCCCCATAGACAGACAAAATGACCTTTGCCTTCTGCCCCAGTGCTGATGGCCTGAGTACAGACTACAACCACTTTGGGGCAAGGAAAATCTTTTTGTTAGGTGCTTGTATGGCACTATGTACAGAGCTGGCCTGGACTATGGTCAGAGCTCCTGACTGCTGGCAAAATAGAAAGAAATATCAATAACAGCATGAAGAGCAAACTTCATCCCCTCCATGACTGCTCCTTCTTGCAGTCACTGCTTTATAAAGCCAAGAATGGCATTACCAGTATCTTTCCCCCACTGCTTCTCATATCCTTTGGAATAGTTTTGATCACTTTGGTTTGCAGACTGGAGCTACTTGCTATTTCAGTTGTAAATAGGAAAAGAACATAGATAATCCTTCTCCAAGAGCATGGCCCACAGCCTCTGAACCTGAAGAAGAATGACTATTAGTAGTGTCAGTGCAGGACATATGACACACATTTGAAAGGGACCAATTCCACTGATTCTTCAAGTGTCCCGAATTGTGCACATCTAGCTATTTTCCCAGTGGGGAACTCTCCCTGAGGGCCAGGTAAATTCCCATGCTTGCATTCTTTTTGCTACTTCTTCCAAGACCTGATTAGCATGACCACCAGTCTCAGCTGACTGTCCTTTATTACAGCTGGTAGCTCCCTAGGTGTTCCTCTGTACAGTCCCTAATCAGCATTTCCTCATCCTTCCAATTGCTCTGATGTCCAAATTTAAATACAGGTGTGGCCTCTCCTCACCACCCTGTCACCTCCCTCATTGCCAAAATAAAGGGAGTATCTTTTTTTTTGCTACCAGCTTTGCTTGGACTTGGATTCAGTTCCAGCCTGGAGGTTTTACCTGGCTCACCAACCATAGCTAAGCTTTGTTCTATTTTTAAATGGGAACATGTAAAACCTTAAGTGATCTGCTTTCTCTCAGTGCTTATACAGAGCCAGATCTAGTTACATTAGTGACACATCTGTTTTTCACTGAGTTTCACTTCTGCCAGCTCAGCTCTGGGGAAGGGCACTGGTGTTGATTCTAGCTTGTGCTTCACCAATAGCATTGTTTCCAAAGGTTCAGTTGCAGGGCCAGTGGCTTGAAATGAATAGTGGGGTTATACAGGTGTCTCTGCAGGTAGCTGGCTTGCAAAAAGTTTATTTTTGGTAATGGGGCATGGGATGGAGAGAGCACAACGTGGCTCTTGGAGGCTGGGAAGGGAATGTCCAGGGACAGCAGGTAGGAAAAACAACTCTTTGCTTTTATTCAGTGCATATTTAATCTGGGGACTCTTGAGATGCAATGAGCATGAAACCCCATGAGTGATGACATTTCCATAAAATCGCTTGTCAACAGAGCTCCACTTTAAGGATGTGTCTACAGAGCACAATGCAGTAGAGATACCCAAGCTAATTGAACCAGCTGGTTCTTGTACCAGAAGCAATATGGCCTCATGAGCTCAATACTCTGCAGGTTAGTATACCCAGCTCCTCAGAAGAGACAGGACCATCCCTGGGGGGGAAGAATCTGGGTGACCGCCCCAGGCCCCATGTTTTGGGGGGTCCTGTGGAGTCAGCCGGAGCAGCCACAGTAACTCCATGCTGCCGCTAGCTTCACATCCAGCCTCTCAGCACCCCCCACCTCCCTTGCCGCTGAACGTGCCACCAGCTACTTCACATCCAGGGATGGGGCCCTGCACAGGCTGATTTGCCCTAGGCCCTGCACCCTGTTCTGGTCATCTCTGAACAGAGGAAATCAGCCTGGGTGCACTGCCACACTAACACCGTGGCTATGCTGCTTCCAGCATCTAAGCCAGCTGGTTCTGAACTAGCTTGAGTACCTCTCCACAGCACTGCAGTGTGCCTGTTGAAGCATCCCAAATACCTGATCCAAAGCCCAGTGGAAGGAGTAGAAAGACTCCTACTAACTTCAGTGGGTTTTGGGTCAGGTCCTCAATCATCTCTGGTATAATCCTTATTTTTAGCCTGCCTATGTCACATCTTGTCTATCCTCCTCAACCTACTCTCTCTTTTCCACACAAGGATTCTGCCTCAGCAGACCTAAATCCAGCCACACTTCAAATCAGTGGTTTCCAAGCTTTTTAAATAGATCACCTTTGGCACTGAAAAGCAACCCAAGATCTACTGCGTGCTGCCACGCCCCCCCCCCCCCCCCCCCCCCC